AAAATTCAAAAAAAACGAGCCGAGCTAAGCCGCTCGCTACAGTATGAGCTCGTGGGCCGAGCCGAGCTCGTCGACGAGCAAACGAGCCACAAGCTCGAGCTCGTGGGCTCGGCTCGGCTCGTTTGCAACCGCTAGTGTGGTTAAAAAATTGACAAAAATTGTGGATCTCGTAAAATGTATGATTGAAAACGGTTTGAGAAAAATAAAAATGGGGTGGGATACCTAAATGCAAAATGAGTTGCATAAACTTCGTTCTTGGAAGTGCCACTTATTGTGGTTATAATTCTTACTTTAATAATTAATTATTTCTCATAAAATAATCTTTTTCTTTTTCCAAAAGTAAAACTGGCAAAGACATTCTTTCAAAATGAGTAGGTACAGAATCATGAACTCTATGGAATAGGCAAAGACGGTTCTGTGAATGAAACACATTTCAGCGTGTTTTATTGGTGATTGATGGGCGTTTGGTGCGTTCACGTTCCTTGTATTCAAACCTAAAAATATCCTTTGAGTTGTAATATTTTGTCAATAATATGGGATTTTGTTTTGTCCTCATAGAATGATTATTCAGGCCTTAAATTAGGAATTTAGTATTGATAGATGAAACTTTAGCGGCGATGTGACTAATTTTTTTATATAAATTCTGGCGGATTTTAGTAAAAATTATAAATCTCGTAAAATATATGATTAAAACTAAACTTTAAATTTTCAAACAAACACTTAGCTCATGTTTGATGGGAATTAAAATCAAAATTTTCGTACGTTTTTTTACAAAAAATGATGAAATATATGGTTAAAAAGATGTGGAACCCATAAAATGTGTGATTAAAATTAATTATTGACTTCGACTTATATTAAAATCTGAATTTTAATTTATACCAAACAGAAACTTATCCCTTGTCTGAGCCACATTATATTTTTCATTCTCATTTTTTCACTCATTTTCAACCACACATTTTTCAATAAAATAATATTTTTTTATTACATCAATAACTTTTCATTCTTTTTCAACTACACATTTTCCATCAATCTACTATTCCTTAATATGGAATTATATATATATATATATATACACACGCGCGCGCAGTGTAATTTGACCTCATGACATGGACCCTGCTCTTAAATATACTGTGGCAAATCTCCACTGTGCGTGTGTTAGATGGATTTTTTTCACATAAATAATAAAAAGTAGGTAACTTTAAAAATAGACCAGTAATTAATTATACGCAGATCATATATTTGGTTGGTAGAGTTTATTGTAATTTAATTAGAAAAAGTTAGCCTAAAATTTTGACCGTGCTGCTCAAATATTTTTATGGAAAACTTCAAAACCCTAAGGAGACGCTTAAAAGAAAGAATAACTTTATATAGCACAAATGGTGTTACAATATCAGTTTAG